TTATTATTATTTTACTTACAATAAAAAAACAAGTCATTGCAATATTATTATTTATATATATTTTTAAACAAAAAGAAAAGAAAATCAAATACTTAGAATTGACAATAATCAAACTAATAATTTTCTAGAAGCTTAGGTTAAAATAGTTTTCTAGGAAGTAACGTGTTAATTAATTAATTCATAATAAATAAACAGAACTAGTATATACTATATATTATAGTAATAACGAGAATAAGAATAAGAATAATAGTAATTTTAAAATAATAATAATAATGTTGACCGCAAGTTCAGCGTAAGACCTTGAAAGTTAGTTGGGTTCGCGCCCGTATTCTCAACTGCATTCGTCACCCCACGCGCACCTTATGCTTCCCCGCGCGTTCCAAGCTTAAACACGTCTTTCCTTTAAATAACAATTGATTGATTGTGGTTAGTTTCAACAAATTAATATCAATGTATCTTTTTCTTTTTTAAATACAACATCAATGTATATAACTTTTAAAATTTGAACTCAAATTTAGAATGACCACTGACCAGTATCATTTTATGAGTCATTTAAATTTCAATCAATAAAATAGTGTAAAAAGGTATAATATTCCTGACTTTTTTTAATTTATTATAAAGCATTAACACTTTATAATTATGCATGATAAAAAAAAAATGAATTTGACCGATCTCAACCGTCTCTGCTTTGAATTTAACAGAAAAAAATCAATTTAATTAAATGTGATTGCGAATACAAGAAAATTTTGAGTTTTTATTGAGATGAAGATGAAGGATGTTAATATGGATGCATTGCATACATTTTGTCCCGACATGATCTATTAAATTTGTTTTATTACTCTTATTTCAATAACTTTATTATCTATTTACTCTTTTTAATCTTAAAATAATAAATTTATTAAAATAGATATTTATTTATGGATGAGTGCGGGGCAGGGAAACTCGTTCCCTGTTGGGAGCGAGAGTGGGTGGTCAATTGTTACGTCTGATTGAATTTTGGAATGGGAACGAGGGTGATACAGGGAGGCAAGGGTTGATGTGCATTGTCAATTGTTACTCCTGATTGAGTTTGGGGATGGGGACGAGGTGGTACAAAGAGATTAGAGCATACTTAGTAATGTTTAAACCTTACCCCGACTCACTTGCCATACTTACACATAACAAGTTATTTCTTGACAAATAATTGAAATAAAATATTTAATATTTCCGTTTTTGCTTATATTTTAAAATAATTAAAGGGTGTTTATTTCAAATTTAAGAATTACATTTTCAAAAATAAATGGTAGGGGATTTGTTTTGGGCCATTCATAGGATCCAATAACAACGATTCAGAAGGTAAAACGATCCATCAATTCAAGTAAGATAATTTGAAGCAGATAATTAAAACCCAAAGATCAATCAGACAGACTCTCGTATCTCACACCAATAAATTAGAAAACCGTTATAACTATATGTATATGCTCTTGATCCTCTCCAATTGAAAATTAACATCACTTATCAAATCTCCTTCTAGACTCATCAACAATGGCAAGTTCTATAGCTACCCGTTCTGCTGTGTAGAGAAAAGCAACCACAATCGTCGTCGTTCGAGTTGTAAAAGACCTACAACAACTTTCTCAAAATTTTAGCGATCAAGTCCTCATGGAGTCTCCATCTATACGGCCGAATTAAGATATTGTCTAACTAAGGACATCTCAAGGCATTTTTCAACCTCTCTGTAGTTTCAACCAGGTGAGCCAACGCTCCGACCTCTAGAATTGTCAACGGTACCTAGACCGGAAGTGCTCCTTGGTTTCCAACTATTGCAAGCTAACCTCGACATACAAGGTTTTAACGAATTGTTAACAAAATTTACAACATGGTTTAGCAACAGAATCCGCAAGTAGTCGAGGAAATGTTACTTCGCATGGAAGAAATCTTGTATCATGCAAATCGAAAAGTAGTACGGTACAAAAGGCTATTTCTCGGAGGAGTTATATTGTCATCCTTGAATCGGGCGTGTCTCATCGATAAGTTGATATGAGATCTCCAAGCCATTGAATAGCCATAAACACCAAACTTCCTCCCGGTCCTAAAAGAGCAAAGGGCAGTAACACTCCTTCTAAGGTCTGTCGCCCTCAGATAGAGGAAGTACTAGAGGAGCGACCTCCTGTCATAGGACGAAAGAAGCTTCCTCTTTTTGCTCGTATTATGGATAGACGGGTCTCGAAAGCGCTAGACAAGTCTCTAAAGCTTAAGAGTCATGACGGAAATGGATATTTGAATGAGCACGTGCAGCATGTAAAAAATCGTCTAGACTACTATCATGTCGATGATGCTCCAAAGTGTAAACTCTTTGCACTAACTCTAACTGGATCGACTATGATTAGGTTCAAATCTCTGCCCGACAGAAGCATAGATTCACGGACCGACTTGTGAGAGAATTTCACTGTTCGCTTCACTGCCCAAAAGAGGAAACTCACAACGGTAGTCGTGCTAAGCAAGATCACCTAGGGCAATAAGGAGAGTCATCAAGTGTACAACAACCACTCTAAGAAAAGGGCTATATAGGTGGGAGACTCCGATGAAAATTTGAAGTGCTAGATTTTAAAAATGGCTTAAGGCATGGCATCGCCTCTAGAGAGAATGTGGGGCATAAGGAAACCCACAATTTAAAAGAGTTGTTGAATAAGTTTCAACTCTTTATTAATTATGAGAAGAAGCTTATTGCCCTTGGGGACAATAGAGCACCAGTAGACGCAAGTTCCAATCGATCAGAGAAGGAGTCCAACTGGCGCAAAGAGGAAAGCCACCATGGACCCGTGGCGGATTTGACAGATACATTCCCTCTCAACACCTCCCGGAAGAAAACTTAGAAATAATGTGCCAAAATAGAGTTTAGGAAAGTAAGGATAATGAATACCTTCTTGGTTAAGGAATTCTCTCGGACTGATAATTCAAAGTACTGTTGTTTTCATAAAAGTTACGGTCACAACATCAACGACTGCATCCAGCTGAAGGGCGCAATAGAATGGTTGGTCAAGAAAGATTGTATATCCAAGTACACTAAAGACGGCAAGAAAGACCAAGATGATTCTTTGAAGAGCAAGCAGTCTCAAGCCTAGATAATTGATGTCGTGATTGAGGCTAAGGAAACAAGCAGCATAAAAGAGATGGTGCATAAAAGGGAGCGCCAATAAATTGCATCCATCACATAAGGTACCCCGTGAGCAAGTGCCCCGTCAAAGAAAATGATGGGAAAAAAATGCTAAAAATTAATTAAAGGTATTTATTTCACATAAACACATTTAGAAATCGAGTAAATGTAGTTAGTGTATGTTTGATTTTACAATTTGAATATTTAGAATTGATTTTGAATTTATAAAATTGATTTTGTCATGTCCGATTATTCTCTAAGAAAATTGATTATGTTTTTTTAAAATTGATTCTACTTAAAATTAAAATTTATAATTTTTAAATTTAGATATTATTCTTAAATTTAGATATTATTCTCATATTAAAATTTATTGTTGAAGTCACTTTTACCAAAACTTATTGAAATAGAATTAATTTTACTTTCAATTCACTTTTACTTTACTTTGATCATTTTACACAATCGATCCAGATAATTAATTTTTTCTACCGGAGAACCAACAAGACACTTAAACTCAGCAGATAAGAAAAATACGTTTTATTGAATAGAGTCATAGCGTGTTAGAGCATCTCCAATGGTGCAACCCATTTTTAGGTTCTTTGTGGGACCCACCCTTTTAAAGCAAGTCATTCAATTTTCACTTCAATGGTGCAACTTTAAAGAATCCATATTGGGTCCCACCACTTTACTTAAAAAATATTATTTATATTAAATTTATTTTATTTAAAATTATAATTTAAATATTTAAATTTTAATTAAAATGATAATTAAAATAATAAATAAAATTTTATATCAAATTATAGTTTTTATATTTTAAAATTAATATTTTAATATAAGAACCATTGGTTGTATATTTAAGAACTTTTCCATCTTAAAAATAACAAATATGAGTGCCATATTGGCAAATCCACCCTAAAAACTCCCATTGAAGTTGGTCTTAGACCAACTCCAACGGTGGTTTTTCAAATTGGTTTGCCAGCTTGGCATTGAAAATGTCAACAAAATGTTATTCCAGCTGTAGAACGTTACAAACATAAGCAACGGTTCTTCATTTGGTTTATTATTAAAATAATCATTTAGCTTTATTTTATTTTTTTAACTTTTTTATTTATTATAAATATAGGTTTGTTGGAAAAAATTTATATCATTCCTATTTTCTCTCCTTTTTATTCCTATTTTCTCTCGTTTTTATTTGCTCTTTAATTTCAAATTTCTCTCTCACAATTTCATCATTTTATTCGTAAATATTTAATTTTTTTCCAACAATTTCTTCTCATTATCATTTTATTTCAAATTTTCATCTTTTTATTTCAAATTACATTTGTTTAGGCCAAATTTTCATCTTTTTATTTCAAATTACATTTGTTTATGTGATGTTATTTATTTTTATTGTTTTTAATTATGTGATGTTATTTATTTTTATTGTTTTTAATTATGTGACATGTATTTAAATTTAATTTTAATTATTATTTTCAATTTTATGTTTAATTTTAATTTTATGTTTAATTTGTATTTATATTAATTAAAATTTAAATATTTAAATTATAATTTTAAATAAAATAAATTTAATATAAATAATATATTTTAAATAAAGTGGTGGGACCCAATATGGGTTCTTTGAAGTTGCACCATTGGAGTGAAAATTGAATGAGTTGCTTTAAAAGAGTGGATCCCACAAAGAACCCAAAAATGGGTTGTACCATTGGAGGTGCTCTTAGCTATTGAAAAGAGGCGCGTTGTTTCCCTAGTATCATTAATGAGTGGTTATCTTCTTCATCACGCAAACGTGATTGATTCTACTCTATCACCGAAATCTTCAACTTAAACCAAATTAGTGATAATTAATTACTTCAACTATAAATAAATAATGCTATTAACTCGATTCATTACATCAATATCTCATTTCAATTCCAAATCCAATTTTCTTCTCCTTTCCTCCGCTACTATGTCTTCCACCACCACCGCCGACGCCGACGCCAAACACGGTTTCTCCCGTCCCGAGATGTACACAGAAACTCTCGCCGGAACCGTCCAACCCTACGATCGCCACGTGTTTCTTTGCTACAAGAATCACCGAGTTTGGCCTCCGCGTGTTGAAGCCTCCAATGATGATCCACTCGTTAAACGCGTTGCTACTGCGTTTAAAGCGAGGAAAAACGACATCGTCGTTAAGGTAATTATTGATTAATTGCTTCAATTTATTAATTAAGTTTGCTTTTGGACTTCGCTATTTGTTGATTTGTTTGTTTGTTTGATTGCAGACGAATATCACAGTTTGTGAGGCTCGTGAGGAGGATGGCTTCTCCGACGGTGATCTCTTGATTTTCCCTGAAATGGTCAAATACAGGTATGTTTATTACAAAATTAATCATGGCTAGGCTTATCTTTGCGACAAAACTATTCAAAGATACTTATTCTTATACCGTTATTTATGATTAATACGTTATTTATGATTAATACAATAATAAAGAATAAATTATAGTTAATTTACGCATATAATTTACACCGTGAAATCATATGATTAATACAATAATAAAGAATAAATTATAGTTAATTTACGCATATAATTTACACCGTGAAATCATGAAAGACTTATTTTATTTTATAGTATATTTTTCTTATGCGTGAACTATTTTTATAACTAAAGACAAAAAATGAAGTTTAATTGTTTTCTTATAAATTGTTTTCATGAACTTTTCAATACCTTGTCAATGTGATCCAATTATATAATATTTTAATGATATTTGTTAGGCAAATTTTTAGGTACCCTTCAAATTGGTTGGATACCTATATTCATCTTAAGTGGTGCGATTACAAGTGTTTAGTATTTTTTATAAAATTGTCAATAATTGAGATAATTGTCGTCAAATTAATTTTTAATTTTTTAAAAGTAACACTAATTTTGGAACAGTTATTGTGAGATTCATCCATTATTTTATAAAATTACTAATATGCTTTCTCTTTTTCCGTCTCCCTCAACAATGTTTTTGATGTCTAATTTGATAACAATATGTTATTATATACCTTAATTTCTTGAATATGATGAAAGAAACAATTAAACTATCCAAGTTTAAAAAAATTCATTGCACTATGACCATAATTCATCAAACTACTGAGCATAAATTGCTTTAAAATTGGAGGTCATGGAATAATTCAAATTCAATTAAGTTTTTCAATCAATCTTAATTCTCAATTGTTGTAATTTCATATCTCAAAAATATTAATTAATCTCACTTGACAATTTATAGTGGCACAACAGAAAATTTGATTTGATTTTCTGAAAAAACTGTTACAGAAATGTTTGGATAGGAAGAGGATGTTCTTAAATAAAATATATATAAAAAATGGCATAGTATTAAAGGTGAACACTCTTGTACTCTTAGATTCAGTTGGGTATCATTACCCTCATCTAGTGAAAGATTCACATTTAATGCCGTGTCATTTTTTATATATATTTTATTTAAAAATAAATTAATATTTTTAATCAATTTACACTAAAGTTACGGGTACCAACTACTTATGGGTATCTAAGAACTTGCCTTGTTTTTATCCTCTAATACTGATTGGAGTTTTAAACTAGGATGATTAATGTGTTTCACAAGTGTTGTGTGTGAATTAGTTTTTTTATGCACAGATAAACAATGATGAAGTATAGTAGACACTGGCACAAACAAGATAGTGTGTCTTACTCAATAAGCATTGGATAATGGATTTGGTTAAGATAGAATCTGTTGTTAAACTTTGATGTTTTTACTAAGAAAATAATTTTTGTAATGAAACATGGTGCAATTTTTTCAATCAAATGAATTTTTTTTCCATCAACTACTTTTATTTAAAATTAAAATTTGTGTGTTTTTATTGAATTCTGATAATTTTCAAAGTGATATACACACAGCAAAAGAGAGAATGAAATCTTTTTTAATGAACGGATACATAATTGCAAGTGATTTTCTTGTATTTATGGACTACCCGTGACTGACTCTGTAACTAACTAAAAATCAATTAAATGATGACTAATCCAATTAATTAATCACAAGCGGGAAACTAAATTGAATTATAAAATGTCATTATTTCTTATTTTGATTTAAGATTTCATATTGAGAATGGTGTGTTGTGTTGTTGTTTCGATTGAAAGGGGTTTGAAGGAATCAAATGTTGATAGTTTTTTCGACGATGTTATGGTGGGTTGTAAATCATGGGGTGATGGAGTGCAGAATGCTGTGGCAGGTTCATACATTTTTGTGTGTGCTCATGGAAGCCGTGACGTGAGGTGTGGTGTTTGTGGGCCTGTCCTTATTGACAAGCTCAATGAAGAAATTCAGCTCCGTGGATTGAAAGATCAGATATCTGTTATGGCGTGTTCTCATATTGGTGGCCACAAGTATGCTGGCAATTTAATCACATTTAGTCCTGGACCAGATGGAAAAATTATGGGTCACTGGTCAGCTTTCTACTTGTATTATTGATACTTTTTTTCTTCAAGGATTTTAGTATTACTTGTTTAATTATAGCACCTAATATTTAATTACAGGTATGGCTATGTTACTCCTAATGATGTGCCTGCCTTGCTAGATCAACACATCGCCAAGGGAGAGGTCATACAAAAATTATGGAGGTTACCACTTATTTTTTATTCTGCATTTTCTATCCTTTAGTCAAACGTTTTCTTTTTTAAGCAGAAATTATATATACGCACAAAAGGCTCTAGGCCAAGGAGTAGACCTATATTACAGTCTCTACTCCACTCTCTACACTGCACATGAAACACCCATGCAACAATAACAAATGATAAATAGAACCAGTGAATCACCAACAGAAATAGGCGCAGCACCAATATACACCAAAAGCACGAGAAATAAACACCTTTGATTAACTAGATGACATTAATTCTTGTTACTTCCTGCTAATGTGTGGTCCATTTGTTGCAGCAGCAGCATATCAATTGCTCCTCATGATACCAACACAACACATTCCTTTTTCTTTATTTTTTTTCTCTCTGTCACACGTATTCTATCTGTTAGTTCTATATTGTTTGACCCCATTCATGACAAGTTCTTGTCTCAATTTCCCTGAGTGTTGTTGTTTTTCCACTCCGTTAGTTATGCATTACTTGTCCAGCATCCCTCTCCTTGTTTCCTTTTTCACACGAACTTCTTTTCTTACACAACTATTTGAGACAACATGATTAATGCGTAATGAAGCCTTAAAGGCTCCATAATTTGATATTACCTACCCAATTCAATATCCAAGTCTTCCATGGATTTCCACATTACTCCAATGTTAAACAATATGCCATTGTAATCTTAAAATAGTGAAACCATTTGTCCATGAAGATATTGATTGCACTGGTGAATCACAGCTTTCCTGCGGCCGAACTGACTTCTAACAGTACCTTCCATGCTCCTTTGAAATAGTAATTTTCTCTTGAGCTTAATTATACACATCACTAATCTCCTTTCATCACAATCAAATATATTCAGCTACCGACAATATACAAATTTCAAATGCTCAGAACATGCTATATTTCCATTTTTAACCTAACTCTTTGTCTCAATACTTCAAAGCTACTCCACTCCAAATGATGTTGCCTGATATGCCCCCATTTTCATGTCACCTTGCTTTACACAAGTACAGTAAGGTACAAACAAACACTTATACAAATAGCCACCACCATTCAACCCCATACAAATCAAAGGATTCATACACCATCGCGTAATGTCATGCCCAAAACCTTTGATCCTTGCACTTTACCCACCTCCAAACACTTACTTTCACTCTGTCCACTATTGAATCTATATCCATTTCATTCTTGCAAAATTATTTTAAGGATATATTGTTCTAAAGTTAAGGCAACATAAATTAATCAATTAAATGTGTGTTTTAGAATAGATTCTTAAACTAATCTTTTGTTTATTTTACCATGATATATCAAATGGACTCATCAAGATGATCAATGCTAGATTTCCACATGGATATATACATTATTTGATTTAAGTTGTGTTTGTTCCACATGGATATATACATTATCTGATTTGTGTTTGGAATTTGAGTAGTTGTGGACAACATCATCCTTCTAGTATGGAATGCATTATACTTTATAACCTTTTATAGAAGGATGGAATGCATTATACTTTATAACCTTTTATAGTCTCCATTTTGTTTGTTGCTGATAGAATTGCATAAAGAATTGCATAATACAGATAGAAAAAACAGTTAGAGAATTCCTCATTGTATTTTCATAATAAAAGTGATACAATGAACACTTTATATATAGAGAGTAGAGTAGAGAGCTATAACAAATTGTATAACAAACTATACAATTAGTAACTAACAAGTACAACTCAGCAATATAACAATAGAATTTTAACTAATCTCTTATCTACACTATATCTTTTAAAGCTTACTGTGTTAAGAAATGTGGTTGGGCCTAACACAACCATAAAAAATTGGTTGATAGAGTGAGGATTGCCCCCACTTATAAACACATGTTTATGCCATAAATGGTGGGCGATAACGGAAACCTAATAGAAGTTGGCCCACCGAATCTTAAATGAGACTCTGATACCATGTTAAAATACAAGAGACTAAAAACACTACGGAGACATTATTATATATAAATAGATTACAACTAATTACATGATATAGTCGATGTGGGACTATTCTATATACAAATATTCCTAACACTATATAGAGGTGGCAATGAAATCCATTTAGATAATATCCATCTAATCCATCTAATAATTTATCCATCTAATCCATCCATAAAACAAAAAATAATTTAATGGATATCCATCCACTAACTCATATGGATGGATTCAATCCATCCATCTCATTTTATAAATCCATTGGATATTATGTTGTCATTTATTAAATTAAGAATTTTTAAATTAATTTTTTGGATGGATGGATATCCATCCATTAGAAATATGTTAATGGATGGATTGGATGAATTTTATCTTTTAATGGATGGATTAGATTGGATTTTTATTAAGAGAGTTTAGTGGATTGTTAATGGATTAATGGATTGCTTTGATCCATCCATTAACAATCCAATCCATATCCATCCAATCCATCCATTTACAATCCAATCCATATCCATCCAATCCATCCATTTTGCCACCCCTAACATTATATATATTTACAAATATCAACACTCCCCCTCAAACTTGAGCATAATGCACTAAACTTGTTACAAATATAGTTAGTTCTGGGGCTTCGTAGGAATTTTGTGAACACATCTACCAATTGATCATTAGAGTTCACAAAACTTGTGACGATGTCGTCTGACTCGATCTTCTCTCTGACAAAGTGACAGTCTATCTCAATATTTTTGGTCATCTCATGGAAGACTGGATTTGAAGCAATATGCAATGCAACTTGATTATTACAAATAACTGTCATTGGTCTTGCTTCTTCAATTTGAAGTTCCTTGAGCAACTGTTTTAACCAAATAAGTTCACATGTTGCCATTGCCATGGCCCTATACTCTGCCTCAACGCTTGATCTTGCAACAACATTTTGTTTTTTACTTTTTCAGGATATAAGGTTTCCTCCAACAAGTACACAATATCCAGAGGTGGATTGTCTATCAATGGGTGACCCTGCCCAATTAGCATCGGAGTATCTAATTATCTGGGTATGTCCTTTATCCTCATACAGAAGACCTTTTCCTGGAGCATATTTGATGTATCTCAGAATCCGGATAACAACATCCATGTGTTCCTGACAAGGGGAATTTAAGAACTGGCTTACCACACTGACTGCAAAAGAAATGTTTGGACGAGTGACTGTGAGATAATTCAACTTTACAACCAATCTCTTATACCTTCCTGAGTCAGACAGAGGCTCCTCCTGATTGGATAGTAGTTTAACACTTGGATCCGTAGGAGTATCAGTTGGTTTAACATTTAACAAACTTGTTTCTTCCAAAATATCCGTAGCATATTTCCGCTGAGAAATCACCAAACCATCTTTAGATTGGGCTACTTCAATACCCAAGAAATTGCGGAGTTTATCAAGATCTTTTGTCTGAAATTGTTTCGAGAGATGTTGTTTCAAATGGAGTATCCCCTACTGGTCACTACCATTTATGACAATGTCATCTATATACACAATAAGATAAATACACCTTTGGAGTGAGTGACGATAAAAAACAGAATGATCAGCTTCACTACGAATCATAACAAACTGTTGTACTACAGTGCTGAATCTGTCAAACCGAGCTCTCAGAGATTGCTTAAGACCATAAAAAGACTTGTGTAGCCTACAAACCGTATTCAACGACTCCCCCTGAAAAACAAACCCAGGTGGTTGCTCCATATATACTTCCTCTTCAAGATCACCATGTAAGAATGCAATTTTGATGTCAAGTTGATGAAGAGACCGGTGTCGAATGGCTGCAATGGCTAGAAGAATTCTAACAGATGCCATCTTGGCTACAGGAGAAAATGTATCACTATAATCCAACCCAAAAATCAGATTGTATCCTTTGACTACCAAGCGAGCTTTAAATCGATCAATCTTACCATCTGGACCAACCTTCACTGTATAAAACCAACAACAACCTACTAAAGATTTTCCATGGGATAGAGGAACCAGTTCACAGGTACCACTGCTTTGAAGAGCACACATTCTATCAATCATTGGTTGCCTTCACTCAGGGTGAGATAATGCTTCACTTGAAGTTTTAGGAATAGAAACAGAAGACAGAGAAGACAAACAAGTATCCTGCAAAAGGGAAAGACGACGATAACATAAATCAATATAATGTGGAGAAGGATTTCGTGTTTGACGTATACCTTTTCGAAGGACAATCGGAAGATCAGACTCAGGTTGCAGGATCGGATCCGGTGATGGCGAGAGCGTCGGAGAGTTCGTAGTGACCTCAGGACAGGTAAGACTTTAGGGATAGGTACGACTTCAGGGACATGTACGACAGACGTTGGGTGACGACACTAATATGTTTAAAGTGGGCGAGGAGTGGGGGCGGGGTCAACCGTAGGGGTATCTAGTGGGTCAGGTTCTCTAGAATGATGGGGGATAATGACAGATGGGACTTCCGGAAGAGGTGTGGGAATACCCTCCTATATAGGTTCTGTAGTTACTTGGCTGAATTTGAAATATGGAACAGACTCGAAGAAGGTAAATCAGCGGATACAAGGTATCGTTGTAGTGTATGTGAGTAGCAACGATAACCCTTTTGAGATCGATGATAGCCAAAAAAGACACACTTTAGTGATCGAGATGATAGTTTATCAAGACCAGAGGAGAGATTGTGTACTAAACACGTAGACCCGAAGACTCGAGAAGGAATTGGGTGGAGTGGAGAGTTTGGAAAAAGGATTGAATGAGGAATTTTATTATTAAGGACAAATGAGGGCATGCGATTTATGAGGTAAGATGCCGTGAGCACATCTCCCCAAAACCGGAGAGGAATATTACCATGGAGAAGTACGGTCCGAGTGGTTTCTACGAGGTGCCGATTTTTGCGTTCGGCTACTCCGCATTGTTGGGGTGTATGAGGGCAAGATGTTTGGTGCAAAATACCATTGGATGACATAAATGTTTGAAATTGTTGGGATAAATATTCACGTGCATTGTCACTTTTTAAGGTAC